TCCCAGATACCCTTTAAATCCAGGTGGAATAGCATCTTGCAGGTTAACCAAATTGGTTGTATTAAGAAATCAGGTGTGATAAGCATCTTGAACATTAATTAAATTTAAAAAGACACCAAATTGGAACTGAATCTAGACTATGCATGACAATGCGTAAAGAAATCACAGATAAATCTTGTCATATCTTCACATATGTACTGTCCCACGAAAAAATTTAAACTCGATCTTCAAAAGGTTGTTCCATGGCCCTCTAGTCCGCATTCTCTAGCTTTTGATTATGTTTTTATTAAATTTTGGACTGTTTTTGTATTTTAAAGATATTTTTAAAATAATAAATATTTTTATTTTTTATTTTAAATTAATATTTTAATATCATTTGAATATATTAATATCAAAAATAATTTTTTTTAAATAAAAAAATATTATTTTAATATATTTTTAAATAAAAAATATTTTAAAAAATATTTTTCATCACACTCCGCTCCAGGTACCCTCTAAATCCAGGTGAAACTGATGTCATTTCTTGAAGCAGTACCCAACAGTCCAACACCTGAACACGCAAAACACAAAAAGAGAGAAAAGATCCTTTAGCCAGCTTCCTTCCCCCTTTTTTTTTAACCCCGCCACTGAGTATATCATAAAATGGAATCCCATTAGCTGGATTGACAACCGATTTATAACGTCTTTTTAAAAATATAACTGTAGTTGTTTTTTTAAAAAAAATTATTTAAAAATATACCAAATATTTGTTTATTTAAAAAAAAATTATATCATGGTATCAAAATAATTTAAAAACATAAAAAAATATTAATTTGAAACAAAAATAAAAAAATAATTTTTATAAAAAACATTTTTAAAATATAAAAATAAATAATACCTAGTAGTCATGGTAGCTATTTTTCCATACCGTCACCAGAGGCGAAAATTTGGATACAAGAAGTTAATGAGGCACGATCATAACTAATATAAAAAAATTTGCAATCTCACCGTCTAGAGGTTAAATAAATGTCAAACGGTGCTGTATTTATGGAGACTTTAAGCCCCGTTTTGATATTGTATTTTAAATAAAATCAGGTAATATTTTAAAATAAATTTATTTAAATTTATTTTTTATGCTCATAAATTATTTTTATATATTAATATCAAAAATATTTTTATCTAGTAAAGTATAGCTGCGAGAGGTTGTGCTATTCGGAAATGTTCACGGCAGGGAGAGAATTTTTTGTATTGATTAGACCACATGATATTATGGTGTAATATATTTTAAAAAAAATATTTTTATTTTAAAATATAATAAATTTAAGAAAAAATAGCATCGACAAACCAAAAATGATATTAATTTAATATTTTTTAAAAATCAAATTTTTTTAAAAAAAATTGGCATCAACAAACCAATAAAATAATATTAATTTAATATTTTTTAAAAATCAAATATATTTTTAAAACCCATCAAAATGCAATTTCAAATGCAAGAATAAAAAAACACCGACCCCCCCTTATTCTTGTGGTGCGGATCCCCCCTTGATTTCTTTAGTGTCTCGAAAAGAAGGTGAGTTGTGGTTTCCTTATCACTTCTCGATGCTTTTTCACCCCCCTCTGATCGGAGTAGAATATTGCGTCAACTCGGTCACCCTTTCATAAATCCAATCTCGGAAATCCGACAACAAGACAGCATGCCAATCCGTAGAAAAGTCATTATTGCGTGGAGAATTAATATATAATCTTTTGGAATTGACATGGAAATGAAAATATTTCACGGCAACGTTAGTCCCGTTGCTGGTATTCTAGGACCAATTAATATTAGATCACGGGTGTCTTAGAAACGGTGTGAAATAAGTGAAAATCAATATAAAATAAAATAACTTGAACATTTTTTGGAATTTCTTAGATGATTTTGATTTGGATTTTTTAAAAATCCAATTTGGTTTGATTTTGGTTTTAAGTTTGAGAAATTAAAAAAAACAAATTGAATTAAATTAATCTGAAAATACTCATTGCAAATTAAATATTAGCTAGATACTTGTTAAATAAAGGTCTATAAAAATAGTTTATTAAAATTGAATTTATTTAATTTTAAAAGCTTGATTATTTATTTCATTCAATCTTTTTCAAATTTTTTTAAATGTTTCAATTAAATATTTTATTAGAATTAAACTTTTGAACCAGTATACGTTGCTTTTTGAAAAAAACAAGCTTTGAAAAAAAGGAAAGGAATCCTTTCATTACAAATGGCCACGAGAATTGCAACTTGCAACAGCAAAGATTTTCTTATCTTTTTTTATTTTCATCATCATATGCTTTTTGATATTTTGCACTCAAAATCAAAGTTTTCACTCTCAAGTCACAACGACAGAGACAAAGGTGATGTTACAGGGAAGTATTCGAGATTGCAGTGCAACGTGAGGTAATTTTTAAAATAGTTTTTACTTAAAAAATATATCAATTTTTTTAGCATAAAAATTATCAAAATCACTGAGAAATACTAGAAAAATTATTTAATATTCTTTTTTTAATATAATCTTAAAAATATATAAAAATAAAAACAAAAATAATGTCAAGCACCTCTTAGACAATCACGCCCGCGTGCTCCTTGGACGACCCTGGAATTCAAAAGGGTCAAAATAAAAAATCCAACACCCGATCCAACATAACAAACTCGGACCAATAACGCAGCAAGCTTCCGGGAGGAAATCATCATTGGTCAAGGACCCACCTCTTGATTCATTCTGACCCATTCAGAACCCTGCACGTGTCACTCACCCCCACGCGAATCCTACTCCTTCATACCACCTGACACGTGTCTCGCCTACAAGACCAATAATGGACCCTTAAGTAAACAACATAATTATTCTGGAGGACATAATACTTTGAATAAATTGTCCAGTTAGCAAAAAAATTTAGAAAATAATGAATTAATATAAAATCAATTTTTTAATATAAAATAGCATTCTTTTTACGATGAGGTTCAAAAAAACAAATTTTAATTAATGTTATGGTTTATGAATATAATATTTATTTAAATACTGTGATTATGAATTATAATAAATTTTAATGAAATAATATATTTTTTTGTTGTCGCAGCTCATACCATAACATCAATTAAATTCCATATTATCTAGTTAATTATTCCATAATAGTTAATTAAATTAACCAATCAAGTTACACAAAAATACAGAGGTAAGTTATTATGTGAATAGTAAAATTTTAATATATTAATACAAAATACAGAGGTAAGTTATTGTGTGAATAGTAAAATTTTAATATATTAATTATAATTTGTTTTTGGTTTATAGATTAGACAAAAATATATATTTTAACTCGTGAAATATACTTGAAGAAAAGGTTTATAAAATCACAGTTTTTATATGGCTTGGTTGATTAATTCATACAATTAAATTAACAAGCTAGCTAGTTGAGTATATATTTATACATGTGTGTGATATCTAAAATGTTTAAATAGCACAACATTTAAGTAATTGAAATCCCATGATATATAAACATGACTTGTACATTTATATAGTAATGTTGTTTATTAGATAAGTTTGACTCGGCAATAACATGACTAGATTTAGTTACTGTATTTGTCCAAATGACCCCATTTTCTATTAAGATATTATTAAAAGTTAATCTATTTTAAAATATTTAAAGTTTGGTACGAACAGAAATTAAACTACTGAGATATATAAGTATAACTTTTGCTTACTTCATAAATATTACAAAGCTTGGATTTTGCCTCTCGACACCGCTGTGCAATGAAGTTGACACAATATTAATATCAAATTAAAAGATAAGCACATAAAATCTAACAATTCTTGTCATGGAAAAATTAAATTACTTCCACCATAATTAGACTACTTATAAATCTATCTGATTTATAAATCTATCTGATATATTACTCGCAATTTATATATTTAGATTGAGAAACATGTTTGGGATCTAGAGTCGGGTACGATGATTTAATCTGAACTTGATGGATATTGACCTAAACGAGTGTGTATTTTTTAGATATAATAGATAACGAGCAATGTATGAATATTATCAAATATGCCATGAACTTACCTCTAAATAAATATTTATATTATAAAAATATATTATAAAATATTTATTTGTTCTCAATACAATATGATATACATATGTTTTGATATTAACATAGTGTGTCTGTGGGGGGTGTTAATATACACACTTCAAATACATACACATACAAAACATTTTTATCTTTGTTTTTTAATAAAAAAATAATAGATAATGGATACTTACTTGATATTCAAATTCCAATAACTATTTTATAAATATTTAAATTTTTTTCCTGATGGATAACGGGTATGGTATGATATCAAGAAATCTAACTCGTGGATATTCATTGTCATCCCCAATCCAAAGTAGTGACTTGATGTCAAATACTTATTATGTATAATTACTTTATAAATATCTTATTTTCATCTATATTTAACTGTGATATATAAGCTATATTACGACTTAACCAGTTATGATCAACTTTACTCTAATGAATTATAGTACTAATAAATTACAGTATGTAAAACATAACTCATATTGATGTTAATTGTAATGTGTTATTTGTACTCAAATTAATACATTGCCTAACCCAGACAATATAACTCAACTGTCTTAAAAAATATTAGTGAAACTATTAATATGCATATATCCATCATGATAATACAAACATCTGGACAGTACAAATAGCTAAATTAATCTTTAATTTTTCATGCAAGTAAAGCATCAATATTGCCTTTATACTAACATATCTTATTTTTTCTCTATCTAAACTAACATTAAATTATTTAATAATTAGATTAAATTCACGTGTAGTTCTTTTTATATTTTTTGGTTATTTTATTTCTTCAATTTCTTCATCATTTTTTAAAATTATTTAAATTATCACTTAAATCAATAACTTTAAACTTATTATTTTTTTAACCTAAAAAACTTTATTTTTTTTTAATCTATCACTTTTTTCTATATAAAGGGCGAAGCACGGGTAATATATCCAGTACTTGTTAAATACAACCCACTTGTAAAGAGCACACGGACCACAACCAGGCTGCAAATCACCTTCACCAGAAAATCAACCCGAAAATGGTGGAACCGGTGAACAACGAGAACGAGGAGGAGCTTTCACTACTGTCTCCAAACAACAAAGGTGACGTGTCGTGGCAGTTAAACTTCGACGGGTATCAGTTATCACCCGAACGCAAAGAGAAAAAGCCGCATCGCGGAATTCATGATTGTTATGGAGTTTTAGGTATTTTTTAAAAAGTACTTATTTTTTCTGCAGTAATTAGTGTTGTTTAATACCAATAAACTGTCATGCTTGTTTTGCTTAATCTCTTTGAAAGTGTTTTACTTCTTTTTTGGTCTTAAATGGCAATATTCGGTCAGATTTTCTTTTTGTTTTTTCCTTGTTCGGTGTCAAAGTACTGATTTCTTTCAAGCTTGGCGTATCTGGGTTTTTGTCTCGGGTCACAAAAAAATGTGTCTGATCCTTTCTTGAATTTTTCTGGGTTGTTAAGATGGTATCTTGAGTGTTTGGCTCTAGCTGTGTAAATTACAGCAGAGGCTGGTATGAAAGACAAAATCCGATGGGTTGGTGTTTGAGTTGTAGGATTTTATATACGTGACTTAAGGCGTTTAAGCATGAGGTTTTAATGGGAAAATATGACAACAACTTAAAGTCTTCAAGCACTAATGTAGGTGAGTTTGATTTGATATTGCCAAATCTTTAGCTTGCATGTTTATCTCCCATCCTTTCAAGTGTGTGGGCGTGTATAATCGGAGTTTCCAACAAAAAATTAAAAAAAGGAATTGGGTGCCTGGTTTGTGTTTTTTTTTTATTTATTTTTTATACGTGCATATGACGATATTCCTTTTCCATTTATAGGATGTTTAACACTGTAATTGATTAAAAAAATGATTAGATATGGTGGATTGAATTAATGAAGAGCTAATCATGATTTATTGGCAGGGGTTTTAGTCGCAGGTTAGTTTTCATAATATCATGAACTAGAGTCTATGATTCAAAAGTTCTGGCAAAGCCCTTCCTTTCATGACTTGACTTGAATAGTCGTCTCTTTGCAGCTAATGTTAGTACCTTTCATGTAAGGAAAAATTATTGCTATGGATAATGGTATACGAGTCATGTCTCGACCATTTTGCTTGATGGCTTTAGGTCCTGAAGATGACATAGCTGAGTACTATCAGCAGCAGGTGGAAATGCTCGAGGGCTTTAATGAAATGGATGCTTTGGCAGAGCGGGGATTTATTCCTGGAATGTCAAAGGTTTATGTGGCTTCATTCCCCTTGTTTCAGTGCATGACTGATGGTTTAAGCTGAAATTTTTGCCGTTGCTGTTGTTGCAGGAAGAGAAGGAAATTTTGGCTAGAAGTGAGACCTTTGCAATTAGAATATCAAATTTTGCAAATATGGTTCTTTTTGTAGCTAAGGCTTATGCATCCATCAAAAGTGGTTCATTAGCCATCATTGCGTCCACTTTGGACTCTCTTCTTGATCTTTTGTCTGGCTTTATCCTATGGTTTACTGCATTCTCTATGCAAACACCAAACCCTTATCAGTATCCCATTGGAAAGAAACGCATGCAGCCTTTGGTCAGTCCTCTATCAATAATGCTTTCAATTTCCAGTCAAATTTTCCAATACGAATGCAATAAACTTCATCATGATCTCGATGCTGTTTCATTGCTAAGTTTTTTCTTCCTTTTCTGTTTCATTATTGTTATATGCCTGAATAACAGTGGGCATATTTCTCTTTTCTGCTTATGAATATGGAAGTCTGTCTAATGAAATAATAGATTTCCCAAACTTGTGAATCATATACAGGGGATTCTTGTTTTTGCCTCTGTCATGGCAACTTTAGGATTGCAGATTATATTGGAATCAGTGCGCGCGTTGCTGTCTGATGTAAGTGGATTTCATTTTTGGAAATTCACAATTTTCAATGTTTTCAATCAACAAGCACCTTATTATTTCTTGAGACGGCAGGGACTACTAGGTGCACTTGAAAGGATGATGTGTGATGACATCTCACATTTCTTGTAATGCTCTTCCAGGAGAGTGACTTTGATCTGACCAAGGAGCAAGAGCGCTGGATTGTGGGCATTATGCTATCAGTGACCTTGGTGAAACTTGTGCTGATGATTTATTGTCGCTCCTTTACTGATGAGATTGTCAAAGCTTATGCCCAGGATCATTTTTTTGATGTTATTACCAATACCATTGGCCTTGTTGCGGCACTTCTTGCTAATTACATGGAGTACTGGATGGATCCTGTTGGTGCTATAGTTGTAAGTGATGTCACTCCCCCCCTCCCCTTCCTGTTATTACTTTTCTCTGCTCTTCTTTGGCACCAGGGTAGCTCGATTCTATTTGAATTCAGCACTAGTAGTTTACATAGCAGTTATCTAGAATGGTTAAATCCATCTACAGTCTTTCTAGTGCTTGCATTGCAAACTGAGTCTTGATTTCTCTGGCAAACGCATCTGAATCTATCACTTACATATAGCTATCTGTTGGACTCTATGAGATGCTCAACTGTTACAAATGAGGACAGCATTGCAGACGAGTGCAGCTATCCTGCTCTCTTCTGTTTATATTGATGCACCCCTTTTGGGACCTCTTGAACAATAGGGCACCCATAATGTCATGATTATGCTTCTCCATAAGGTGAAAATGACCACATCGAGATTTAGAGCTCATAGATGCAGATTTGAATCTTTCATTTGCTACCTTGTTTAAGGGAATCAAATAAGCTTAATGAAAACCTCTGCTTTTACTTACTGCATCTGCACGTGCTAAAAAAATGTGTTTGATTTTGGTGCAGCTGGCCTTGTACACCATTCGCACATGGTCAATGACAGTGTTGGAGAACGTGAATTCTCTAGTTGGGAAATCCGCTACACCAGATTATCTACAAAAACTCACATACCTTTGCTGGAACCATCACAAGGCCATTAGACACATTGATACAGTTAGGGCTTACACCTTTGGGTCTCACTATTTTGTCGAGGTTGACATTGTCCTGCCTTCGAGCATGCCCTTGCGGGAGGCTCATGACATTGGGGAATCTTTGCAAGAGAAGCTCGAGCTTCTGCCAGAGATTGAGCGTGCCTTTGTTCATCTTGATTATGAATACACCCACAAACCTGAGCATGCACAGTCTCACTCGTAGTCATATATGGTTTTAGGTTAATATGATCTCTTCATTGCCATGCTTTGGTCTGTATTTTGCTTCATCTTCCAACATGATCCACCGTGCATGGATCCATGCAAGCTAAGCCTGATGGAGAAAGTAATTGCTGACAGAGTTGTATGCAAGAAGTATATCCCGTCAGTTGGCACAAATGTTTTTCAAATTGGGAAACTTTGAAGAGCTTAAACGGGAGACAATAGATAAGTCTCGTACTGCAGTTTACTGCCGGATTCCCTGTTTGAGAATGAAAGATTTGTAATGATATAGCCAGTAGGCCTACTGTATTCTTGGGCCGGTCATTATGTGAACGAACGACCTGTTTCCAGACCTATATATGAAAAATGAGGTTCTCTTATTAGCTGGTGTGAAGCTTGGAAAACTTCTATTTCGTTAGCCGTTACAGATTGAATAAATTTTTGAAAATTCAAGGATCAATCAGACAAGGAACATAAATGAATGTTTGACAGAAATTTCAAAAATTACGTTATTATAATCCACTGTAAAATATGAGAAGAAGATAAACAGGAAATCGCGCATAGTAAAAACTACATGCCATTTCGTTTATAGATGATTTATTTACTTTCACCGCGGTTCTCTTGTAAAAAATATTTCAGTGCAGTCCCTAAAGCCTCATCAACCCAATTTGGCAGAGCTACTTGAATCCTTGACAAGCGGTTGTGATTCCCACCATCCTGTCAAATCCCTTTCATTGTCAAGCTAAAAAGGGTCCGATAATATATATTCCTTATTTGTCGCTGTCTAAATTCTCCATTTGATGATATTATGGGCTACTTGCAGATTTGGTTTGTATTATTCTTCGTCGATAATCTCTTTCTTTCGTTTGACAAGGTATCATTGCCGCGTAAGAAAAGGTGGCTAAGATATAGCCCGCATATTATCTTCATGACGGCGTCAGTGTTTGAATTATCTTTACGTCTGCATTAGTGTATGTTTTTTTTTTATATGTGTGTGTGTATATATATATATATATTATCATATTAATTTTTTTTTTAAATAGAATCTTTAAAGACATGATTGCACTTAAAACACAAACACTGCCCCTTTCAGTGTGCCATGGATCTGTGGTCCCGTTTATATCAACGACTGAGGCTTGAGGAAGATGGTGTAGGCACCGGGACTCTATGTTGGGGTCCCCGATTTATTTTACTTGAGTGTTTTTTTTTTTTTTACCTCTGTCAGGCCTGTACGAACCCAAGTCGACGGTGCATGGCCCTAAATCGAATGTTGGGGGTGACGGCTCATGCCACAAGTGGGTAATTACTCCATTTATTCTCATCTTCAAATCTGAAAAGGTGCCGATTTTTTTTGTCTAGTGCGTATGTTGTGGTACCAGCTATTTTTTTGTTTTGAAGCCGGTCTGATTTTAGTTCTTAGCCAGTTAGATTTTGGGTAGATTTTAATTTTAAAATTTTATTTTTAATAATTTTAAAGTTTGTAAAACTTAAATTAGTAATTTTTAAAAAATAAATTTAAAAATTTATCAATTGAATTATATTTCTTAAAATTAAGTGGTTGATTTTTTTTAAATTAACATGGATATTTGAGGTTATTTGTGTATACTTTAATTAATTTTATAGGTTTTAAAATTAACAATTATATAAATTTTTAAAAATTATTATATTAATAAATACATTGTTTAAATTTAAAATTATATATTTTTTTTAAATCTCAAGCTATTATCACAAGAATATTTATCACAACGCTACTTGATGGTTTTAAGTGGCTAATTTTTTTAATCGCGGGGTTTACAAAAGAAAAAAAAATTAAATGCTAAATCTTCTCCTGTAAAATGTTTTATATGAACATATCTTCCACAGTGTCGCGATGGTGTTATGATGGTGAAGTGGCAATGATAAAGAAGTGATGGAGATGCAGCGATGCTGTTGATAAGATGGTTGTGGTTGCATTAATTACGACAGTGACAGCAGTTTGGTAGCATTTAGTTTTTACTTGAAATGTATTCCATGAAATAAAAAAAATCTTTCAAATGGTTAATGTTTCGACCTATAATGATTTGTGTTTAAATAAATAATAAAAAAACTTTTTTTTTAGTTTAGTGAAAAGGACATTAAGATCCTTAAATGTATTATATAGGCATATTTGAGGATATAGTTTGATTATTTTTAAAATATTTTTTGTATTAAAATATATTAAAATATTTTTTTTATCTTTTTAAAAAATATTTTTAAAACCAGTGCATTAAAATAATTCAAAATATATAAAACATTAATTTTTATTCAAAAATTTTTAAAATTCCAAAGAATGTAATTTATACCTTGTTCCCAAATATTCAAATAATTTGATATTATAATGTTACTAGATTTTTTAAAATATTTTTTAGTTAAAATTATATAAAATTATTTTATTTTTATTTTTAATATTAATATATTAAAATTATTGAATAATATTTTTAAAAATATAAATTTATTTTTTTGATAAAAAACAATTTAGAAAAGAGAAATAGACATTGTAAAAAAAAAAAAG